TTTACTACTACAGGGAAGAATCACCATAGTTATTAGAGTCTCACCTTGGTTGTCCTCTAAAGAAGGCTCTCCTTGAATTTCAGGAACGTCCAGTGTATCCACACAGGCAGCGATGTTCATACTGTCGTTTTGGAAAAGCTTTATGACTGTGTCGTACTTGTAGCTGCGAAAAAAGGGGGGTGCCACACTCAGACATTAAACATATTGTTTTTCTCGTTCTGTTTGTATAAGTTTTATAGAATCGAGTGTTGTTCTTTTTTTTGACATCTACCGCCCCATGAAGAAGTGGGTCAGTCCGGTGAGAAAGGCCCCCACTGCCATGAGTAAACAGCCCATGCCGATGAGTCTGGGCCGATGCAGCTTGGCACCAAAATGGCTGACTGCCGCGAGGAACAGCAAGTTGCCTGCGTCCAAAGAAAGGGAAACCCAAGAGAGCAAGAGGAAGAGAAGAGTACACATAGAACATATCCAGTTATAAAATGTCCAGAACAGAAGTGAGGCCTGATTGGTGAGAATTAGAGTCAGAGTTATGGACGGTACCCATCTCGAAACTGCCATCGATGAGTCCGATGTGCGTGCTGGAGAGGTCGAAGCGTCTCTCGATCTGAGTGATGGAGCTCTTCATGTAGGTCCCTGTCAGGGCCTTGGAGAAATAGGCGAAGGACAGCGCCATGATAAACCACTAGGAAACAAAAAGGAAGAAAGAGAATTAATAGGAAAACATTTTTTAAATGTAACACACAATGGCATGGGTCTAATTCTGAGATCTGATAAAGGTGTGATCACACAGGATAATCGTCTAAACTTTAAAGTAATGTTCCACCTCCTCCACCTGCTGTGTGTGGGGGCACCCTGGAGGTTCTTTATTACGAAATTCATTCCCATCAGGGGTTACTGCGGTGCTTCTGCATGGTTTCCTATGGACTGTATTTAATATATCATGTCTCGTGGCTTTGATTCTGAGCTATATACTCTTGCTTGTACATATATACTGCATATATATGAATTGGAGAGCTCAAATAAATATTGCTTGGGTTTATTTGTTGCAGAGTTTCACTTAACAGCCTGACATCTCCACACTGAAATGAACCTTTGCAGAGAAGGAAAGTATGTATTTTGGATAAAATGCTCCATTAACTTGCGCCTGATGGTGACTGTTGTAGGGTGCCGCAATCAGTCTGAGTCTGAGCTCACTGACTGATACCGAAGTGTTCCATGCATCTTGATGTGCCAACCTGGAGGGGGAATTTAAGATCGGCAAGATTTTCCAAAACAACTTCAGAACAGCTCTTGGCTTGATTCCACTTACGTTTGTAGAACAGATGTGCAACAAAACAGATGTGTGTCTCACATTTTAAGCAATTTTTTCTCCATCATCATTACAAGGGTCAAAGGGGGATGGTCCAAGATAGACTGGTGAAAGGTTGTCAGTCTATAGCACAGGGCTGACACATACAATAAGTCACACTAACAGGGTATTTAGGAGCATCAATTTACTTAACTTGCATGTCTTTGTAAGGAACTGAAATACCCACAGGACAATCTGAGCAATCACACAACAATGAAAACATAACCTCCTCGGCGGCCGTAAGAAATGCACCACTGCACCGTCTCCTTGGCCTCAGAGACATTCACATCAGTAGAATGAACTTCAGCCTATAAAGAAATGTAACTGTACACAACAAGGACTGAGAGAAGTGTTGATTAGTAGCAGCGTCAGTACCTTGAGAGTGGAGATGCCGGGCCGCTTGCTGGTCTTCTCGTCGGGGCCACACAGAGCCTGCTGGCTGGTCATCTGGTCCTCTGTTTCTTCCATCCTAATGTATGGTAGTAATGTACAATACAGTACCGTACTGTACTGTAAAGTACTGTACAAACGGTGTATGTGCAGGTATCAGCTCTCAGGCCACTGCAAGACAAGCATCTATAGACAGAGATAGACAGCATTAAGTAGATCTACTCAGATATAAGACAAATCTGAGGTTCCTGTAATTTATTTGATTATTTCTGCTTTATGTTACCTCATACTTCATTCAAGTATACTTTTTCTTTTCCCAGGTCCCAGCTCAAATATGAATTGAGTATATCACTGCAACCACTTGGTATATATGAATAATCTTGGTTTAAGGTAACATGAGATTTCTGCAGAAGTAACATTACCAAGGCATTTTGCTGTAGTATTTTTAATATGTACTATTGTTCCTTTTACATAAAAAAATTACTAATAGTCTGTCCACCATTGACAATAAAAGAGATGTATAAAGAATGTGGGTCAGGCTTTTGGAAAGATATGTTTTTATTGGCGTTAACTCTCAGAATAAAGACTGACACCAAAGCTTTTAATTCTAAATCACAACCTGCAGGTATAATGTGTTTTATTGACACTTTTCATGTGAATACTGACCAGACTCCCATCAAATACACCACTACTAACATTTCATTATTTTACATTAACAGTAAAAAATTTTATTTTAACTCAAAACTATCCCAAACACATAAACATATAAACCTCATAAACCAAGTCAGAACATGAATTACTAAAATAACATCTAAAACAGCTTCATTAAACTTAACAGTTCCATGAGGCTTTGTGCTCATACTGTCCAATCAATGTTTATGCTTAAAGATATATTTTATACCTTATGTCTCTAAGAATTAAGATGTTTAATGATTAAGTGTTGAGTGGAACCATTTAAACTTGATTCACTAACTTTTCACATCATATTTAGCATGAAGCAAATTTTTATCTTTTTAAAGTACATTTTAAATTTAGTAAATTGTTCGTTCTCTGCATGATGATAAACCGCTGGTGTGAACCAATATTATTTAACCCTCGTCAGGTATCACGGATTCAAACTTATGAAAACAATATGAGACAGTACCTATGTAAACTCCACTAGCGTCCTCTCTTCACCGTCCTCTCAGCTCAGTAAACGTCAGGAGCTGCAGGTTGAGTCCACATCACAGAGAAAACTTGATTCCAGAGACTTCATTTGTCCTTTGTTAAGTTTTCAACTTGTACAATAATGACAACAATCCCCTTCAGGTCTGTCCTGGTTACAGCTCCCTCAGAGTCAGAGGCAAACATCATGCAAACACAAGAAATGGAAAAATCTGGACTGCAAAGCACCCGCTGAGGAAGTTTTTTTAAAGTACCTGCTGCATCTCCAGGCTGAGAGGGATTGGAGTCTCCCCTCTCCCTCTTTTTCTCCTTTCTGAGTTCAGAACTGTTCCTCGGCTCCAGTGGGACAAAAGACCTCACACATTTTTATTCCACACACATGCCAGCCAGGAGGGGGACTGCAACAAGAGAACAGCAGGGAACAGCAGAGAGGTGAAGACAGATTATTAACTCCAAACTAAGGCCTTTAAAAAAAAAATGTCTTATACCAAATCTTGTGCATCAGCTGATTTTGGACAGGATCTGTTAGTCCAGTAGCCCGTGGGGGTGTTCAGGCAGCCAGGCAACAGGTCACGCAATCAAGCTTTGGCCCCCGCAAATTCCAAGGATTAAGATTTAGCGTTGTCACATTCCTGTACAGAAACAGCAAAGGAAATATTTACCACTTTCCCTCTGTGAGGAACTCTACTTGGCAGAATTGTGCATTTGGTGCAGGTCATTTGTGACTGGATCTAGTTTTGGGTCCAACAAGAGATAGGAACGCAGGCTTGTATTGCAGCAGTTCGTCATCAGTTCTACATATACTTGTGTTTTTTAGGGACTTCAGGCATGTTCATATGATTTTCATGAAACTCTAGGAGACATATTTTCTTATTATGACTGACTTTGCTTTAAAAAATAAATAAAAACAATGATGGAGTCTTGGAGGCACTGCAGTGCTGTTTAGTGATATTTTGTTGTGTTGTGCACAGCCCACTGGTGAAATCAGTCACTGCACTGAACGCTCACATGTTCTTCAATGACAAGACATTTGGTAAAAATTAAATTGAGCATATTAATAAAATAATAAATGGATAATTGGATCAGGCAAGTTACCAGCCTTATCTAATCTTATATATAAAAAGTAAATCTTTATCAGTGTCATAAAAGCAATAAAAGTATCTACCAATCATAAAATATCATAATCACTGCTCACAACTGTTGTAATCATATGACATGCTAATAGCTAAAACTTGTTTAAGAAAAAAGAACCATCACTTTTGGTTTAGTTTTTATCAGAGAAGAAAACCTATAGCGCAAAGTAAACATAAAGTTTAGTCAAAGTTTGACCAGGTCAGGTCATGTAATCGGCTACAACCTTCAACTTTAAGCCTGCACTTATTCACGTGAATATCGTCATGTGCAAATAGCAGGTAATACAATGAATCTCTGTATTAAAGTGACATACTTCTGGTCCAATGTGCTTCTTCCATATGGTCTATTCCTACTCTGATGGCAACACACGGCTCGTCTGGCAACACTGGTGAACACAGCCTGTACATTAGAAGTTGTTATGCTCCTGACGTGCACCAGGCAGAGGATCAATGCTGCTGTCTCGTCTGATCTTTCACTGCTGCTGTCTCATGTGTGAGGCCCTCACTGTGTCGGTGCAGGGTGGACAGTTCACAGAAACTGCCTTGGTGTGGGTGTGCAAAAATGGACATTCTTTGTCCATTAATGCAACGAACATCCAAAGACAGTTTTAAACAGGATAGAGCCCAAACAGGTGTGCAAGACCAACTCAATAACTTTGTCTAAAAAGAAGCTACAACAGTGAGAGTGAAGCAAAACAGTAAAGTTTGCAGGCCAAAAAAAACATAACAATCACTGAAAGATGCTCAAATGCTCAGTTTGAGGATAATTGATCAATAAGGTGATATTTCTGTAATTTCTGTCTTTCTCATCACTAGGAGAGACCTAATCTATGAGTCAAATTAATTAGTGTTAGTAATAAAATAATAGTTATCGCAGCTTAATAGTGGGACAAATGGAGCATATGGACACTATATAACTTACTATTACCAGCATCAATGAACACATCCAAAAAGACATTGCATAAAAACAGTTTATTGTGAAAATTTGGCTTACATAAGGACAATCAATACAATTGTAAAAAGGCAAATATGAAGATAAAACTAAAATACAACATTATAAACTTTTCTTATTTAACAGTTGTTAATAGTACATATAATTTTTTTTCTACAACTCTACGGTCAGTGTATAACAGAGTTAAAACTTACAGTAGCAGAGCGACCATGCACCAGCTCTTAGTCCACTGTGCAAACATTAGTGAACTTTCCCAAACAAACGCAAGTGATTCAGGAGTATGTGAATGTTCACGAACTTTAGTGTTTGTGTGAAATGATGTGATGTAAGAAGTGTGTGCAGTGACAGAGGAGCTGTTCACATGTTAACAGAGAGAGTAAAGTGACCGGCCTTACCGTCCTCTCTGTCTCATACATCCCATAACAGACATCTCAAATATGCACAAAGATTAAAGTTGTCTTTGTGGCTGTTAAGATAGATGATTCTATAAAATAAGACAAAGGTTGAACCAAAATGTCCTGAAAGATTTAAAAATATATTTCAGTGAGTGCCAGTGTTGATTAGAAAAAATTAATTGCAGGGTGTAGTGCTCGAGTGGATAAATGTTGTGTTACAGAATCTGGTGCAAAGGTATTTATATTTAGTGAAAGGCGAACCTGAGTAACTACTGTGCCAGCAGTGGTCCAGGTTAATGATTCTGTACTTTGAAGAATATCAGTGGAGACAAACAAACTGAATTGTTCATCCAGAGAGGTATTAATTGACATTATCTAAATTGCTATTATTGTTTTTAACCAATATGCCAATAAAGCAAATTTCTCAGAATTTATTTGGAATAATATATTCCTGTTCTTTTTTTCCAAATGCCAAAGCAATCACAGGGGAATCAGCTTATATTCTTAGCAAAGTAGTTTGGAAAAGACATCTAGATAATTCTACACATACCCCATACCTATGGAACACTTTCCATACAAAAATAAACGTACACTTAAAAATCACTTGAGGATCAGTGTACAGTTTGCCCCTATCAGCACTGATAATGAAAATGGTATCAACCTCATCTTATTCTTCCAGCAGAACTTTTTTTTAGGTTAGGCTCATATTTGGGCATCACCTAGAGTGGGATTGAGCCACAAATATAAAATGGTTAAGAAGATATGTGTGGATCTTCTTCCCCTCATTCAAGTATTACATATCTGGTCAATCTTCTTTAATAAACTAAATATATTTCATTCTTGTGTTGCTTTTACTTACTGGATCATCCTGCAGCAATCACAGACTTCACTGACTTTGCAAATCTGTGGCATCGACTCCGACAGATACAGGCACCATCTAAAGTAACTCATATGTAAGTGAAGGGGTTTTTCTTGAAACAAAAATAATCACCTGTATGTGAAATCAATATCTGCCATTCCTAATTATTACCTCTTATAGTGATCCTTGTGTATTTAAGATTCTGCTCATCTTCTCTAAAATCTATGTTTTTATTAAGCTATCACACATGATACTCTCAACCAACCTCAGTGTCTTCATTATTATAGTTCCTTGAAGTCAAAGCAGAGGGCTACATAATCTCACAAAGTGTTGGCCATAATCCTTCAGTAACTCCTAACAACACTTTTGCCTTGAACTAGTATGTAAAACAATGTACTGTACATACACTATACTGAGCATATACTGTTTATAATACAGCATATATACACATACTGTATATAAAAAGAGGTATACAATGCTGATGCTGTACCATTACTGCATCTGGTCCATTCCGGGTGCAGCACAGTAGTTAAGCAATGGGAAATACTGCATGTGTCATTCGCCTGTATTATACTATGATGTCATACCACCTTAAATGGTGCTCTCCTTGTCTGCGCCCTCTTTGTCTTTGGCGATGCTGATGTTGGCATGTCCGTTGGTGTGTCCGTTTGCCTCCAGTACGTTTTCTTTGGCTTGACTCCTCAGCGCTAACTTCTTCTGTCGCTTGACAATTCTGAGGTAGAGACCCACCCACAGCAAGTTGGACAGGAAGTAGAATCCATTTATCAAGCCCAAGTATGTCACCCTGGAGGAAAAGTATGTTGGAGCAGGTGAGGTGAAACAGTTTCAATCTCACTTCTTTTATTTGTTTAGTTTTTTAGAGTTGTAATTCTCTACAAAACACTAATGTGTCAAACAAAACATTGTGTGGAAATTGTTGTTTGGCCTATGGTAGTGCTGGTTGCAGCTTTCTTTATGAAACTGTAAAAGTGACCTGCAGAAATTGCTGCGCCACCGCTGCTGCATAACGAGCTGTTCACCTATTTATTCAAAGTTTAATGAACCTAGACATATTACATAGAACCCCAAACTGGAGAATCAGTTGCAATTATCGCGATTGTCAACGGTCGCCTGTTCATTTAAACATTATTAATATTGAACGTGTCCAAATCGCACCAAATTTGATGCTGCACTTCCTTGGATATGAATCTAAATATCCTGCTGAAATATAAATAGTAGGCTGGTCTAGCAGGAAAATAAAATTTTATAAAATGAAAGTTTCATTGTACCTAAAAGCGTTAGCATCATAGAGTCTACATGCTCCTCGACCTCCACACTGCTTGGTACCCCACTTCAAACAGGTTCGGTCGATCAGTGCTCCAAAATAAATAGGAGGAGGGATTCCACCTGGAAGACACACACATGAACACACAGTTGAAGATATATAGCCTGGTATAAGTCTCATTATTATGTGCCAAAAAATTAAGTCCTGTTCTTACCCAAAGTTCTTACGATCAGTGTCTGCATCCCCAACGCCAGGGACTTCAGGTCTTGCTGTATGGACCTGGAACATGCAGTGAAAGTCATATTAATGACATGTTAATGTATGGCTCCTGTAACCTTTATTATAACTGGATGAAGCAAGAGCAGGGGAACTGTTTTGTCTGAGGAGCTCTACATATAGTCAAGGTCTAATTCCAATGCCCTGGGACACTTGAACTCCCCATAGTCAAAGTTGCACATCACCTTTTACATCATATCCCTCCACCAATGTTACACGTCACTCATATTTCATGCATGTAAGGTACACCACACTTTAGTTCCATATCTAAATGAAGGAGCAGAACACAATATGTTTACTTTATACCTTAAATAATTACCATTTATTAAACTGTGTAAATTGGATAAATTGGGTAATCTACTAAATAAATCTCCACAAAAATAAATATAATTTTATGTATTTCTACCATAATCATTAGACAGTACAGCTAAGCAGCCATGAAAACCACTGTTCTGTATTCACTTCATCAGTTTTGTGTCTCGTTGTCTAAAGTAAATTTAAATACATGACATAACAGGAGAAACATTAACTCCTTCCGATTAGAGTCTCTGACCTGAGCAGCACTATGTATCCTGGCGTTCCCCCACATGCAGAGATGAAGGACCCAATCACAGACAGAGCCATGTAGAATTTAAACATGCCGTCACAGTCACTGTTCCTTGGGCACTGGCCCAGCACTGCAGACATATTTGTAGCTGATGTCATCATATCCTCGACGCAGGTGCAGTTATGAAACACCTAAAGAACCAAAGAGAAGAGAGGAAATGTGAGTTGTGCCGAGTTCACGAGTACTTTCATGCTCTGAAAAAGACAAAACCTTTTGAATGTGGTGATCCTGTGGCCTGAACTCCCACATCACCCTCCAGAAAAAAAACTACTGGTGAGGCTTGAACAACATTATAAGCAAGTTATTCACTCACATCTAATGTCTTGATATTATGGAGTGCAACAAACAGCCTTTAGGAGCTTTGAGTAGGACTTAAGACTTTGGCATATCATCACTTGCACACAGTTTGTTCAATTGGTATTTCTGCCAAGGAGGTTATGTTGTAACTCCTGTCTGTTTGTTTGTAGGATTACACAAAAAAAGCCTGAACCACTCAATATTAAACTTGGTGGAGAAATGTGGTATGGGTCAGGGAAGAACCCATTCAATTTTGGGATCCATGAAGTTTTTTCAGTTTCTTTAACATCGTGAAACGTTTTAGTTGATTTCTCGGAGACTAATAAATGGATCTTGATGGAAAAAAGTTTATGGGGCTGACATTTTAGAGTATGTGCAATTTGCCCCACATCTAGTGACTTTAAATCTGGTTCCATGAGGGGACTGTTGGTCTTTTTTTCCCTACATTTTCTAAAAACCTAGCAGAGTGCACTTCAATAAAATGTGGGGTTGTGACAAGAGACAGACACAGACATAAAGTATAATCATGCTCATGTCTGGTTACATTGCATTCTGGTCTTTGAAGCCACTGTCAGTGCAGAACACTGTATCCATGCTGTCTCTCTGCCCATTCTCAATGTCTTTTTCTTCTGTGATTACTGTGACACTGAAAAATGGCCAGAGAATTATCACAAAACAACAACATTATCAAACTTATATGTCTTGTAGTGATCTCTTGTCATCTCCATATGGTGAGGTTGTTTGTTTTTTCTCTACCAGTTATACCACATCTGTCAGGGTCTCACCGTCTCCTTGCCAGAGCCAGTAGAGGTCTGGCAGCCAGCCAGGCATGGCGAGGCATACGTCATTCCGTTGTAGGCACACACCGGGTCCCAGTGCTTCATTGAGCAGGAGCAGCCCACATTGCACTGCGACAGCAAAGTCTGCTGGTTGTGTGACACCTGAGGAGCCCTGGTGCACGCACAAACGCAGACGGATCAAATTAGACATGGTGATAAGAATCTTTATCACATTCATACAGCAGTGAGAGATGGTAAGCGTTCTACTCACCCCTGATATGAGACAGTGAGACCAGCCACATCTGCTTGTCCACAGTGCAAGAAGATCTGCATGGAAAGCATACTGAAGGACACCACAGTGGCAGTAATCGACACCCTGGCTGCTCCGATGATGCCCAGCTTGAAGCGTTTCAACACAAACCCTCCGGTGATGATGCCCAAAGCTACGGCTGGCAGGTTCAGGATACCTGGAGGGATTAACACACAGGAATTATTTCACCATGGAATTGTCCAACTGGTCATGTAATTTACAATGGGTAGCACATTAGCCTGGGAGCTGTAGGAGATTAGAAATCTAAAGGGAACTGTAGAGATGTAAGACAGTGTGGAAGTCTTTCAATTTATTTTAACTTCGGCCCCAACTTTATTTGGGCTTCATCATAAAAGTTGAATCATTGCAAATAGATGACATTTAACACTATATAAATTATATAACAATATGGATATTGTTAAAATGCTTTCATTATTTTCCGTGAGGTTTGGTGTTAGCTGCTGAAGTGGCAGATGCTGGATGTTTTAGAACTATATCCAACACTTTGAATTGTGTTTTTTAAGTTGATTTTTGTGTGAATTACTCTTCATCTTAACCACTTGTCCACTACTTTTTTCCATTTTTACAATTAGCATTAGTTTTCTCCATCTATTTTGACAGTGTAACAATTAATTAATTAATGATATATTTAATCTTTTAAAAACACTGAATAATAAATAATTGATTACTTTGCTAATTCAATTTTTTAAATGAGTTGCATTCCACCAGAATCTTTCCATATTACAATGGCAGAATTACTCCATGGAATATAAATAATTTTGGTTGGTATAAATCTAAGTTAAATTACTGCATGCAGGCTCATTAACAATGTTGAAATACTTTGTGGTGCGTTCATGTGTCAGTAAGAAGCTCTGAGAAATCCAGTGAGATAACACTACATATGAGAGCTGTGCTGTCGAAGGATTTTTTCATTAAAACCTGTTCAGCTGTTATTCCTGCTACCTTTCATAATCATGGGTAATTGAACGACAATGGAGTTAAATCTATAAATGTTCAAACCAACAAACAACTAACAGTGTTTACTTGCCAGGCAGGTAAACAGTCATAAAAGATTATCCATAGCTCAGGTTGATACTTTACAGACACACTCGCACACACAAAAGGAGAGTTCAGGTTCCACGTCAGCTTTATCTCTCACAATCATACTTCCCTTCAATAACATCATTGTTTCAATCACCTCTGGCTACAAAGTGCAGAGTCAGCGCACCGTACCTATGAGGAAAATGGCTTTGGAGGCTGATTGGCCATAGATTTGCTCCAAGTACTTCGGCTTGAAGGTGATGAGGCCGATAAAGCCGTTGACGGCCACGAGGTGTGTGAGGATCATCAGTGTGAAGATGCTGTTCCTGAAGAGTCGTCTCAGAGACGGAATGAAATCTGGTGATATACAAAGCACAGCAAAATATGATAGAAAAATAGTTTTACTTAGGTGTACAATGGTTTCCTTATCATGATGGCGAGAGTAGAAATGCACAGTCAAACTAATTTAGTTTGACTTGGGTTTTTGCCTAAAACAAACCCGGCTATTTCCTTTAGTATTGGTTTATCTTATTTCCTGAATCTGAAGTGGCCCTTACTACTTTGAAAGGTGCCATATCAATCAGAAATTTTATTATTATTATCATTATAAAATACCAGCAGCATTAAGAAAAAAATGTCTGTATATTTGTATGGTAGCACATTTATAAATACCTTTATCGATACACAGTCACAGAACACATACATATAAATCTACTATAGCCTTCTTATATCTATTTATATTTCCTGAAATAGCTTTAATGTTCTAATTTAACTGCTGCCCTAGTTTCCTCTGACATATGCATGTTGTTAACCAATTGAAATCCAGCAGTTCCCACATATTTCTTTATCTTGACTCTTGCTCAGGTTGCATGGTGGTAAGTCACAGTGAGTCCAGGTATCAGGGTTAGTGGTCAGGGTTGAGGTTTTACGGGGCTATACCTGGTTAATGATTCAATGCATTTATTCTAAAACCTTTTAACACAGTGACACATTTCTCAGATGTCTTAGAAATGATTTATGCTCATTGCGGGTTAAGCCTTATTTGAAATGTGGAATGTAGAATTGTGAACATTCTTGCTAAATTGTTGTAGGTTACTATAAAATAAAGATGTGGCAGGCTACACGTTACCTTTAGCCATCTCGTGGAATGTGACCGGCTTCTCTTTCTCGTCATGCTCCTGGTTTTCCTCTGACAGGAAGTTCTCCTGCTCTGCCACTGTGGCCAGCTCTGTGCTCTTACTCTGACTCTTCTCCTGGCCCTGCTTGGGCAGAGACCTGGGCAGGAACCAGAATGGGATACTGGAGAGCAGAATCACGGTGCCAGTCACTATGAAGCCCAGCCACCAGGCCCCCACCCAGCGGGAGTCTTTGTGGTTAATGGTGATGCTGTCTGTGAGAAGAAGGGAGGTGACAGCAGCTTTTAAAGGAGAGTTGGATCATTCAGGCCTCTTGATTAGTGACTGTCTACAGCTCTAATGGGATGCAGTTCAGCTATGCGATCTCCTAACACCACATTTACACATACCTAAATCCACAGATCCAATGTCCACATAGATCTTGGTAAGGAAGGAGCCAAGCATGTACCCAAACATAGGTCCTAAGATTCCCACTGTGTGGATACAAGCTGGAACATGGAGAAACAGAGAGAGAAGAGAATAAAAGATCAGAGTGATATAAAATTGAAGATGATGTAGCTAAGCTCCACATCAGAGAATAAAGCAACAAAAGAAACTAACCCAAATAGAAAGGAGTGTTCTCCTCCTTGGAGAAATCATCCAGGTAGGACACTCCCAGAGGCATGATGGGAGTCTCTCCAATCCCCCGCAGCATGTTTCCCAAGAAAATGTAGATCCACATGGATGAGCCAGCTGCCTTTTCACAAGCTAAGGGAGGTGGACTCAGAATGTGAACTGAAATCTAATGTAATGTTAAAGGTATTTATCTTTTTAAATTCATCCTTGGCTCACGTAAATGTATTGATTTGATATTATGACTAATATTAGGGGTGTATAACAGACTGTTCACAGTGGCAGAGGTGGTTGACTTCTACCTGCTTTAGGCTGTAAATCAAGCGTCTCATCTGCGTCAGTCATGCTGTGGTTGGACAGACAGGGCAGGATGGTCTCGGTGCTGTTGATGTCATTGCTGTGAGTCACACTTGTCTCGTATTTATACCTGGAAAACATGAAGGATTATTAAACAACTGTTTAGTTCAGTTCAGTAAACAGACAACTGAATTGAAAGCTATTTGGGATTGTGCATATTGTGTTGCTCACATGCTACATATGCACATTGTTAGTGAGTGCGTATTTTTATCTTATCTTATCGGTTAGTTTTACGAGCTATTTAAATGTGGGTAACAGAGCAGAGCTTTTAACTGGACTTAAACTGTGGCAGGAAAGTAGCATGACCTGTGTCAATCGACATATAATGTATTTTCTTCATAGATTTAATATCCTGACCTCCAGGGGCCAAAAAAGCCCCAGTGTGTAAATGTAATTAACTACATGTTAGTCAAGGGATTATTTCACTAAAGCAGAACAACTAATGTGGGTCATGATGTCCGACCCCATCTTATTGGATCTGACTGTTGTGTCAAAATCTAATTTTGGTGTCATGTTAAAAGGTTAGTTTTAATCTAAATTGCATTAATGTGGGACAATTTTAAATTACCACTGACAGAAACCACGAGAGGCGCAAATGGGCTCGCAAACAAGTTAATCCTGCACTGCAATTAGAACTATATTATATCATATTTTGCAAAGGACGCTTCAGTTTAATATAACAAACAAATAATAACTACTCTTTGGATTCAGGCCATTGTGGTTCAATACTCTATTGCTGCCACCACAGCAGCTCTGCCTCCAAGAGCAGGTGTCGCTACTATATTATTCTAACTGATGTGTATAATTACTGCAGGAAACACGTTAAGAAGTGTCAACTTTGTAAAAGTTGAATATTCAGAACAAAAAGCAAACTGTGTTCTTACAGTCCCTGCAAGAAGTGGGGTAGGGCGATGAGGAAAGATCCAGTAGCCATGATCAGACAGCCGATACCGATCAGCCGTGGACGATGGAGCTTCGCACCAAAGTAGCTCACAATGGCTATGACCAACAGGTTCCCTGGGAATGAGATGATTTAATGAATTGTGCTTTGACATTTTGGCAAATATGCACTTTCTTGCACTTTCTTGCAGAGAGTTTGATGACTGAGCAGAAGTGATTGACATGTCTGTAGGTTTAATTTGTTACTGCCATAAAGACTGCAGACAATGGGAAAAAAGCTGTTCAAATGCAACATCCTGCCCACCATCTACTCTAAAGCTCACTAAATAATACATTATTCCTTATAACAATCTATTTCTTCTTGTTTAATCCATGTTGAAACCTGAGTAGAGGACAACATGCTGTGGAGTTATGAGTCAGTCCCTCTCTTATTTCTCTATAACCTGAACAAACGATTCAGTGTTAATTAGTGAGCTTGAGTAGCTTGATATTTAGCTGCCATACAGACATAACAGTGGTATAGATCTAACTTGTGGCAAGAAAGCAAATAATCTCATGTCCCAATACATCAAACTATTCTTTTAAGAGGGACATTTGGTGGCTCAATCTATGTCATAAATCCAGAAATATTTATCATACCAACAAAACATCCCATATCTAACATTGCACATACCCATTTCGAAGCTGCCATCAATAACTCCAATGAGGGAGCTAGGGATGTCGAAGCGTCTCTCGATCTGAGTGATGGAGCTCTTCATGTAGGCTCCACAAAAGGCTTTGGCAAAATACACAAATGACAGCGAGGCCAGGAAGAGCTAGAAAAACCCAAACAAGAAGTTGTTGGATGAAGCTTTTCTCCAGTGAAACCCATTCAGAGGATGCAGATATGATGAGGACATGTGAAAAGACTTATCACTTTAACTGTTGTAAAATGAATATCTTTAAAATGATATCTCAGCTAAGGGTTTGGACTGAGTGGATTTAACTACTATTTTTGAGCATGGATTTCTTTTCTTAACAGAGGAAAAACCGTTGCAACTACAGAGGAAGGATCGATGATGTATTATCCCTTCCTTTGTTTGATTGCTTGATTGATTTGACTCATCTATTTATGTTCATCCATGTCTAAGGTATTTGTCATTGATTTGCAATGATCGCCAAATGTCTCTTTGTTGATATTTCCTATTGGTATTTTTGTGGTTTGTTCACTTTTCCAGTACAAATCCTGCTTGCAGCCGTATCCTTGCCCCTAACCAAGTAAAACATTTAAAGGGATTCACTCTGGGTTGTAGAACAGACTATTCTGTCAATATTTCGATATGTGCCACTGCTTACGTAAGAGTAACAAGCACAAGCAACATGGAACTTCCTCTAGAGTGCAACGTGTTTTTACATTTTTTTTTCAAGAGAGGCTTTGTACTTTCATGAGAATGGCTGGGAATTTTTTCAAAGAAATCAACATCATCAACCAATCTTAATAATATATTTAAATAATGCACCACATTCCTTGTATGATTAGTTTGTTTTTAGAGACCATGCAATAAACATCATACTAACAAAGAAGTCAATGATATGAATCCAGGTCATTTTACCACATTTACCAACTATCTGCCTTCTCTTTTCACTTGTCAGAGATTAACGTGCATTTTAACAACATGAAGCAGCGAGTGATTGTCCTAAAGGTTTCAACACAGGGAGAGGGTGACATTTCACCAACCTTGAGCTTGGAGCAGAAGGCGTCACGTGGCTTTTTGGACTCTACACTCATGATGCTGTTCTCGATAGATGCGAGGAGGCAGAAAATGCAACACCAAGAGGCCTGCAGAAAAAAACACAGGGAGATTATAAACAACTCATTTCTATGTTGTTTTAAATCGGGGAACTGGAAACACACATCTCAGTGTCGCTAAGTAAGTAAAGTTTATTTGTATAGCACTTTTTACAGATGTTAACAAGTGCTTCACAGGGCTGAACATGAGTTAAAACCATACAAATGAAAAAACAGAAAAGAAAAACACACGTACGCATTAAAAAGAATACAGAGTCTGAATGCCTGTTTAAACATGTTTTAGCTGGTTTTATGAAGACGAGTAGATTAGTTGATCGTTTATTATGACAATATTTCCTCAGTGAGTCTAAAAGAAAACATTTGCAGAATTTAAAGGAAATAAAAAGTTGAGACAGTATTTACCTGAGTAGCAGCAGTGGTCCTGAGAGAGATGTGTGGGATGTGCTGAAGTGGCTGACGGCTAGTTGTACCTGGCAGGACTTTGTTCTCAAAGCGAGAGTCTTATCACAAACAAACTACAACATTACCTGTAATCAGTAACTCGGGTACTCATGTGCACTTGTTGATCATGTCAATAAAAAGTCCTGAAACCCCTCAAGCCCCTGAGTACATAGGCACGCATGTACACACACACACACACACACACAAACACACACTGCACTGGTTGGCGAAGGTCCAACAGTAGATGCGTGTCGGACCAGTACCGGAAGGCTCAGGAGGTTCACTGAACACACACACAGACAATCATGACTCGCTTGCACTCACACATCCTCCTCTGTGAACATCACAATGCCTCCTGAGTATCCATCCTTTTGAACGCACAACAAACAGCAGCAGCATGAAGCTGGCCAAAGCTTATTTTACAAGCCTGCTGTTCCTGGTGGTTTGCTGTTTTCAAAGAGTAAAATGCTTTCCTCTCCTGCAGAAATTCAGCTTTTGTAAGACTGGGTGTTTCCTAAGCCTGATCAAAGTCTTCCTGTCTTATTGATATCAACTAACAATGGCTTTCTCTCTGTGACCCAATGGCCAATAATCCCAGCTTCACAACGCGACTCTGCTCACTTCTTCTCGCCACAGATAGTGATTATTATCAGAGGCAAGTGTGTCCCTGTTACTGTAGATAATCCTTAATACCACAACATCAATAGTTATAACAGGGACTGTTTGTTCTCAAGGAAGTATTTTAATAGAAAACCTTACACAGTGAAGGTTTGGATTAGAGCAGAGGTTCTCAATTTGTTTCTCTGCCATGGTCCCCCTTATGATAAATATTTCAAGTATACCCTCATTTATATAATGTGACATTCTACTTAGTGAAGTGAAAGAACAACACAAGAGAAATGTCCTACAAAGATATTAGACAAGCATTAAAAACATTGTCACCATGTCAACACTGAATCTCATGATAATTTTAATGGATAAATAGCAAGTAATGGTAAATAGTGATTATTATATATTTTTATACATATATATATGTATATTGCACATCTATGTGCAGCACTCTTCTATGAGAAGGGCAATTTGGGGTTCAGTTCACCCCAGGAAACTTCTACATACGGAATGGGGAAGACTGGGATAGATATGGCTGGAATGACAAATAAACCTCAAACAGATGAAACGAATGAAACTAACATGACCCTTTACCCTCTAAAAACAGGCCACTTGTGTAAAAATGGGAGCGATCAATCCAGAGCGGAGTTGCTGCCAACAGGTACTTAAGGTGAAAAAGAAATTTCATGACATAAGCTTGATGCACTGAAAAAACATACAAACTATACATCCAGCAAACTTTGGCGATTAGTGAATGAATCATTTTATTTGCTAGAAAACAGATTCAGTTATTCATTTAGGTACAGTGTGTAGAATTTAGTGATATCTAGTGTTGAAATTGCATGTTGCATCTGAACACCCCTCACCTCACCCTCCCCTTCCAAACATGAAAAAGAACCTGTGGTAGTTTTCAGTTGTCATAAAAACTCAAAAGTTGTTTAGTTTGTTCAGTCTGGATTAATGTAAAAAACATGGCGGTCTCCGTAGGGAGGACCCCCTCCATGTAAATATAAAGTATTTAAATATAAAGGGCCTTTTCTGGGGTAAAGAAAACTACAATTCATACAATTTAGATGAAACGAACTAATGAAAACATCATGAGGATTATTCTACATTAAATTTCTGCATATAGTTCCCTTCACCTAAATCTTACAAACTGGACCTTTAAGTAAGAAAACATGTGAATTTAAAAACATAAAAATTTGATCTGGAAATTTGATGGATATTTTACATAATGATTTACTCCTGGTTTTGGTGTGTGCTGTCTGTACTCCTCAGCGCAGTGTAATACAGGCTCTACACTCACAGCTGGTGATATGCCTGTAACCGATGCGTCTGGTGGTGAGGCCGAGGCACTGCAGGGTTAATGATCTCCTCTGTGAGCTCTGCTCCAGACAGCATCGACTATTATGCTCCACCTGAAGGTCATCGTGTAACACCACCCTGAGCAAGGCACATGGGTGAGAATTGGAATGAGACAGACAGAAAGAGACGTGTTATGTTACTGTAAGACTCATCAGACTGAAAGAACAAATAAACACATAGCTCACATAGTGTCAAAATTATTTCTATTGACCAGCAATAGATACAGTGAAATTCTTCTCACCTGGGCTGAGACACACACAGGCCCTGGCACACAGGTATCTCTATGATTGCGGTACAGTTTTCGATGGTGATGTTGAAGCTGGACAACTTAGGAGCACAGCCCTTATTACCTGGAGATGAAGGAGATAAAGTATGGGAAATAATTAAAAATTTGATGTAAATGTGTACAATTAAAATATGCAACAAAATTACTTCCGCCAAGAGGGTTATATTTGCTACCATGTCTGTTTGTTGGTTTGTTTGTTAGCATGATTGCACAAAAACTGTTGGACCAATTTGCTCCAAACTGAATGGAGAGTTGGGGATTGGTCCTGGGAAGACTCAACATGCCTCAAGAAGAAAATCTAAAAAAATATACAACTACATGACATTAATAAACTATACGTTTCGCATACAAATAAAGTTGTTTTTAGTCTGCTTTCATAAAAAGATAATGTTTGGAATAAGAGATGTACAAATAAAATTTGATTGATTGATCGATTGAGTGACTGTAACAGACCTTAGGTCAAGAGCAAGATAATTCCAGAGAATGGCTCCATTGAAACTGAAGGTAAAAGTGAGGAGACCGTCACCTGAAGATTTAAGGGGTCTGTCTGGTGTGTATTCAGTGAGCATGTTATGTAAAATAGATTCAATTATTGTGTGGATGTGGTTTAAAGAGCCAGATCCATGTTTTCACTTTCTTTATGTTTTATGACAAATTTAGGTTTATCAGACCACCTCTTCTTTTACAAGACAATCAGGTGTAGGATTGCTCAGCCTTGGTGGAGGTACTCGGTGCTCTACTGAGTCTTGTTACTAATTGAACCATTTACGTCTATTGCGTCAGGATAAGGTCAAGAATGCCATGAAGTTAAGAGCTGGGGCGACAAGAGTTCAAGACAGCTTGAGCCGATTGAGTCATTTTACCACATTTAGGTGAAAATCTTTGATTTACAGGCTGATTCCTGTGTTTGTTCAATTCTTTGGTGGTAGCGTCTCTGCATTGATAAACAGTAAATGCTCTAAAAGGTCAAAATTCAAATGTAAAGCAAAATAATCTATCTACAATTGATAGTGTCTTACCTCACTTACAGCAGTTATAACTGACTCTGGAGTGTGGTTAGGCTATGTCATTGTTTTATTATTCATATTGACTTCTTTTTGAGAGTCGGTGTGTTTTGTCTTATCGGGCTATGTGCTTTTGCTTGATAAGTCTGTCTTTATATTGTTTCACTTATCACTTGTACTCGTGTGCATTGTGCATTTGTCCATGTTTTCATATGTCATTGATTTATTAATGATTTATGCTATATGTCAGTGTGTGTCCTTGTACTATGATATTGTATGTTTTGTTACTATCGACCTGCCAGAGACTACATGTTGGACTTGAGTACGCATGATAATTAATGTGAATTGTCCATTTTAAATAAACAAACACAAATATATTGGTTGTCAACTCACATGTAAAGCAGCAGTTCTGGCCATCCCAAACTCTTTCCCCCTGCAGAACAACACATGGAGTCCACGGGTAAAGAAAGATCAGCTTTTTAAGTGTACTATTTTGAATAAGGTACATTTAGTGAATATTTTTTATTTATTTATTTTAAACAGTTGTAATTTTACATGAAAAGCTTTCCTCCCTGTGTTTCAGTTGTAAAATTAACATATCACATTCTAACTGTTAAGCTGAGGGAAAATACAGTAATGCAGAAGTTGTTACCCTACAATAAATCTTATATGATGTTAAAGTTATGAGTTTGAAGGAGAGAGTCGGGGTCCAGTACCTCAGGACAGTTTTCTTTGGGACAGACTCTTTTCTCAGTCTGAATGCCCTCTTTGGTACAGTTGAAATACATACAGGGATGGGCTGCGTCTTTCCATGTGTCTCCCACCTACACACACAAAGAGAGATATCATGACAAGTCACAAAACAAAGACTGGATCGATGTCAGTACAAATTTGGGAGACTCTTACACAGGACCTACGGTATAATAACATGAGATCCACTCAACATACCTTGTATGTCTTTTTATTGTAACTGCAGTTCTCTTCACAAGTCTGATTGCCACAAAGAGGAACCAGCTTGGATTGTTGAAAACACTCCTCTGACCGAGTCTGGTTGTTACATGTACACAGGTGACAGTTGGACTTCCACACCTCACCAGGCTGGACGACAGGACAAAGAAATTGAAAATAAAAATAAACCTTGATTTACTGACATGAGGTATGTAAAAATATTTCCATTGACGAGACAACCATTCTTACCTGTCTGGGCTCTCCGAGTGGTCCTTTACAATCTGTGGAAGAGATTGTAAAACACACAATTTACCTATGAAAGAGTTGAAAAGAAAATATTCTAAGAGTCTCTTATAGATCATGTTACTCACAGGTACAGTCAGATACACAGTTGTTGGAGTGATTTCCTGCCCTGAACTGGCCACTGGGACAGAAACAACCTGTCCTTTTTTTTCCGAAGGAGGCTCCTGGATATCGTACTCTGTGCAGTCAAAGCAGAGAGGAGATGATCCACATCTTGACAATCTCAAATATTCTGCATAATGTGAAATAAATGTGAAAGGAAGGACATTATAACCTCTGCCAAGGAGGTTATGTTTTCACCCATGTCAATATTTTTTTGTGTTGTTTTTGTTTTGTTAAGCAGGATTATAGAAAAAACATAGAGAGAACTTCCACGAAACTTGGAGGAAGGATGGGACATGGGCCAAGAAAGGACAAATACAATTTTGGAGCAGCTCCAGACAAAGCTACGCATTGCGAGATTTGGCATTTTACACCAATCTCCCAGGGAATAATCCATAGATCTTGATAGAAAATCGGGCATATTTAGGGAACTTATAACTTTGACACTGAGTTGACATAAAAGTGGGGCCTTGGCAGAGTTATTCGCAGTACTGAGTACTATTCCAGTGTGTAAAAAGTAAAGTCTCCAAACCCTCCATAGCAGAAGTCATCCAGCTTGTCATGACATTCTCTGTAAACCAATCCTGTTGGACAGGTCACATCTGAAACATGGACAATGAAACTTCAGTATTGGTCAGAGCAGTCAGGTGTGAAACTACATCAAGACAACAATTCATCTCCTGCTTTGACTGGCTTTGCTTTAAAGAGAGTGATTAAACAAATAAAAGTTAAATACCACAGGTTCCATTAGTCAGTTTTCTCCAGTCTATGCAGATACCGGCGTTCTTGCATTCCTCTGCAGCTTGCTCTAGTGAAGAGCAAGGATTGCTTGCAGGCCCACATGAATCAAACTCACAGTTTTTCTTTTTAAGGTGCAGATTCACAAATGCCCTGCAGTTCTGAAAGACTCTGAGGAAACAGATTAGACCAGATTTTGGTCAATAGATAAGAATATACAAGTCAAAATGTACCTCCACACAACCAATGAGGTAATGGCGCGTTATGGGTGGTTCCTTGCACAAAACCTAAAAAACGTTGGGTTGAAAACTACTATAGTTTTTCAGTCTTATTGGACCAACCAAAGGCTACCTAACCCTCAATTAATGACCCAGAAAAACATGCTTAACCCAGTATTTTTGGATAAGATGAGAAGCTATGGTGACTCATTGGTTGTTACTATGTGTCAGTATTAGTCGCAAAGGTAGTTCTTATGTAAAGTAAAAGCTTGTTCCTCACTTTCATACCATATATTTTGACCCAATATGCACTTACATTCAGTCCCTGATAACAAGTGTGTAGAGCTTACTGGTGGTCTAACAGCTCACAAAGCAAGGTCACAGGGCAGCTGGTGGTGGATATGGGTGTGTTAGTGGGTGCTGGAGTTGGCCCAGGATGACAGGGTACGTCCCTCAGTGGAGATGCACAGGCTGAGTTCAGAGGGTCTGCAAACACCCAGTCATAGGCCGTCTTATCACAGCAACTGTTGTCCTCGATCTGCCCTCCTCTGCGAATACATGATCCCCCACCACAAACACCTGGAGTAGATGGAAAGGAGAATCTGATCACTAATACACATATTAATACACATTTAATAAATGCATGTTTGTATTTGCATCGCAAATATCTTATATGACAAAATAATAATAATGATAATGTTATTTTAATTTAAAATTACACCACACTGTCTGTTTTTTTAGTAGTCTGTTGTCTGAGAGGACACAACTCAATTAAACCTGCATTAATTTGTTTAATTAACAGTGGCTCAAAGGACTCAAAAAATATCAACACCATTTTAGCAAATTTTTTTGGTTCTCTGGCTCATGGCTCTCTCTGGCTTAGTTGTAGTATCCCTTTTCAATATGGTACCTACCACATTGTCCCTGGGTGTTGTTGAGGAAATGTTCCATGGCTAGATTGACCACCAAGGTATAAGACGGACTGAAGGAGATGTAAGAACGAACCTCTGGGAGATAGATTGACACAGTGTATCCTGTGGTTTCAAACCTCAACCCCTGCTCCTCATATGGTGGCTGTATGGTGACATTGTTCAGAGTGGCCTAAAGAAGAAGATAAGATCAGTATCAAACCAACTGTCCCAGTCATGGTAGACTTTAATATTTGAAGCAAAAAATATCCTATATCACAGAAAATTATTATATGCTTCCTTTATATTGTATCTACCTGTACTGAATTCAAATCTTGGACAATACTAAGTGCAGCAACGTTTTCCTGATATCTGAGGATGATGCCTTTAACACAGGACCCCTGGAGGCCCGGCACACAGTAGAAGTTGTCCACAGCAATGGAAAGATGATGCTGTGGTGACTGCTCCTCTACCAGGATGTAGGTGCATTCGTCCAAAAAATCAAAGGGGACACCTGCAAAGGAGATGTAGTGGGGGTCCCCATATAGCTCACAGCGACCTACGGAGGATATGGGAAAGAATAAAATATGATTTTAGTAGATATTGGTAGAGCACAAGTCATAGAGGCTGAGCCCGAGAGATTGAGATTGTCCCTCCATCAATTCACTCTTAACGTTGTCATGAGCATGTAAGCATTTAGGTTAAAGCTGCCTTACAGGGGCACAGACTTAGCAGAGACAGCCTACTTAAAAGGACTAGTGGATATTATGGATTGTTTCAGGGAATCTGAAAACAAGTTCATGTAATCCTGCTCTAAGGAACAATACTTTTCTGAAATCAAATTAAAATACAGAACATCAAACATGGATATGTATAAGCAAATGTTACTGTAAACACAAATGAAGGCACAAGAGGAAGAATAACTAAGGGATGACATGGACAGTGGTGGAGACAGAAGCGATACACTTACAGTCACATTTCCATGTTTCGCAGCATCCGTCTGAAACCTTTGTGACCTGACCTCTGGGGCAGATTGGAACTATAGGCTCTGGACAAACCACCGGGGTCAACTCTATCTTGCCATTAGAACAGGTACTGTGGAAACAGTCCTCTGTCCACGTCTCACCACAAGCCCAGGTTATCTTCCTCTTGAGGTCGGTACAGTTAATGCAGGCTGATGTAGTGGTAACGGAAAGTGCAGAGGACAGTGGTCATAGACAAGACAAAAATATTCATTACATCTAGGATAACTGTGAAAAGAGTAATATGCAGAAAAAAGACATGGCATGCACCTTGTGAAGTTTTGTTATATGCTGTTGATGTTGTTTGACCTGTCTCAACTACATGAGTTGTCGACTCTGTACCGGGTGCTTTGGATGATGTCAGTGTTGAAGTAGGGGTGGCTGATGATGTTGTTGTCGATGTTTTGTAGGTAGTTGGGACAGTTGTAGTTGGTGTAGGGGTGGTTGATGAGGTTGTTTTCCATGTTTCATTGGTAGTTGGGGCAGTTGTAGTTGTTGTAGGGGTGGTTGATGA